AGGCGGGGGTGGGCTGGGGTTGGGGGCGGTGGCCTTGCCGCTTCAGATTAGGGAGGGAAGGCGGACTCTGCTGCACCCCGAGCTTGCTGGCAGAGACCCTGCCCTCGCCGCGCCTCCGGAGGAGACGGCGGAGGCCCGTGGTGCTGATGGGGAGTGTTTGGGCTGGCGGAGGTGGCCGCTTTCTCAGCCTAGGTGACTGAAGAGAAGAGGTGGCGGAGCCGCCAAGTGACTTGGGCAGCCTCTTAGTTTATTTCTGGGTGTTTCCATTAGGTGAGTGTTTTGGACACACAAAAAGGCCGTGGACGCTAGTAAGATACTTTTGTGGCCTTTGAGGCTGCTGCCTTTTTTCCATTTCGTGTGGTAAGGAACTGGGGCTGAAATAACCTGGATACCGTTTTGGTCGCTCCCTGTGTATTCACTATCCCGTCCCCCTTCTCACTTCTGAACCTGGCACTGAGCGATACAGATGTTGTTTAGTAGTGTTTTAGAAGGGACACTATCAAAGGAGAGGAGAAAAATCTGAACATAAGGTAAAGCGCACACTGAAAGGTTGGAATGTCACAACTGAGAAGGGAGGTAGTGAATTAATTTAACCTGAGGACGGGGTTATTCCTCCTCTTTTAAAGAACAAGTTTGCATGCCTTCCTTTTTTAAAGTGAGTGAAAGCATGTGTCAAAACTAGATACTGATTCTAAGGTTATAGAACTGATATATTTCTGTTAGTGTTCCTTGGCATTTTGGGGGCTATTTCTTAGGAATTGAATGATAAATTATCAAATTTTGATAAGTAATCTCTATCTCCCAGTATAGAAAAGATTCATTTAAGTTTTTGTTTGTTTGTTTGGTTTTTTTTTGAGTTGGAGTCTCACTCTGTCGCCCAGACTGGAGTGCTGTGGCCGCTCCCGGCCACCGCAGCCTCGACCTGCTGGGCTCCGGCGATCCTTTCGCCTCAGCCTTCCAAGTAGCTGGAACTACAGGCGCGCGCTACCACGCCCGGCTAATTTTTTTTTTGTTGTGGAGATGAGGCCTCGCCAAGTTGCCCGGGCGGGTCTCGATCCCGGGGGCTCAGGCAATCAACTCATCTCAGCCTCCCAAAGGCGGGGGATTACAGGCTGAGCCACCGAGCCCGGCTTCATTTAAGTTTTAACTTTTCCTTTCTATAAGTACATCCGATTAAAAATAGAAGTTTTTGAACACTAATGCTGTGTTTTTTGACTGATGTAACATTTTTACTCAGATGCATTTACAGGTGTCTGTGTCTAAAAGAGATTAGAAAAAACAACTTTGGAGTTTTAAAAGTTCTACTGAGTTCATTTGTGTGTGTGTGTGTGTGTGTGTGTGTGTTGTAGTATTACTCTGTCATCCAGGCTGAAACCAGAGCCTCAGCCCACTAGGCTCAGGCAATCCTTCAGCCTCAGTCTTCCAAGTAGTTGGAACCATAGGTGCATGCCACCACACCTGTCTCATTTTTTGTTATAGAGACGAGGTCTTGCCAAGTTGCCCAGGCTGGTCTCAAGTCCCTGATCTCAGGCAATCCTCTCGCCTCCACCTCCCAAAGTGCTGGAATTACGGGTGTGAGCCCCCATGCCTGGATGATTTTATATTCTTTAAGTGTTTCCCAATATTTAAGATATTTTTAAGTTTCCACTGAGCAAGCTTATTTGAGAATGTCACTTGGATAAATGTTTTTATTTTTATTTATTTGTGTATTTTTTGAGTAGGGGTTAATTTCTGTCACCCAGGCTGGAGTGCAGTGGCACACTCACAGCCACCACAACCTCGACCTGCTGGACTCAGGTGATCCTGTGATGCTTCGCCTTAGCCTTCCAAGTAGCTGGAACCACAGGCATGTACCACGATGCCTGACTAACTTTTTGATTTATTGTAGAGACAGGGTCTTGCCAAGTGGCGCAGGCTGGTCTTGAACCCCTGGACTCAGGCAGTCCTCTCATCTCAGCCTCTCAAAGTTCTGGGATTACAACAGGCGTGAGCTACCATGTCTGGCTAATTTTTTTTTTGAGTTGGAGTCTCACTCTGTCACCCAGACTGGAGTGCAGTGGCCGCTCCCGGCCACCGCAGGCTCGCCTGCTAGGCTCTGGCAATCCTTCCGCTTCAGCCTTCCAAGTAGCTGGAATTACAGGCATGCACTACCATGCCTGGCTGATTTTTTGATTTATTGTAGAGATGAGGTCTCCCTGCTCAGGCGGGTCTCGAACCCGCGGGCTCAGGCAATCCACTCACCTCAGCCTCCCAAAGGCGCGGGATTACAAGCTGAGTCACCGAGCCTGACTTGGCTAATGTTTTTTTGAGTCAGATTCTCACTCCGTTGCTCAGGCTGGAGTACAGTGGCACACTCATAGCCACTGCAGCCTCGACCTGCTGGACTCAAGTGATCCTTCCGCCTCAGCCTTCCATGTAGCTGAAACTATAGCTGTGTACCACCACGCATGGCTAATTTTGTGTAGAGATGAGGTCTTGCCATTTTGCTCAGGCTGGTCTCAAACCACTGAGCTCAGGCAATCCTCTTACCTTCACCTCCCAAAGTGGAAATTTTTCACTTTTGATCACTAAATATTAATATTAAAAGCCAGTTTTTAAACAACAGGGTAATGAATTAGATATGCAATATATACTCAGACAACTTGTTGGAGCATTCACAAATACTTAGAAATAAGCATGTATTTTTTTTTTTGAGTCTCCCTCTGCTTCTCAGGCTGGAGTATAGTGGCATGCTCATGACCAGTGCAGCCTTGACCTGCTGGGCTCAGGCAATCCTCTTGTTCTGCCTCCAGAAGTGCTGGGATTACAGGTGTGAGCCACCATGCCTGACTGTATTTTTCTTTTTTAAATAACTTTATTGAGGTTTAATTTACATGCCATGCAATTCATTTATTTAAAGTGTACAATTCTGTGTTTTGTTTTTTTTTCCGAATTGAAGTCTCACTCTGCCCAGACTGGAGTGCAGTGGCATGCTCCCGGCCACCGCAGCCTCGACCTGCTGGGCTCCGGCGATCCTTCCGCCTTAGCCTTCCAAGTAGCTGGAACTACAGACACGCACTACCACACCCAGCTAATTTTTTGATTTTATTGTAGAGATGAGGTCTCGCCAAGTTGCCCAGGTACGTCTCGAACCCGCGGGCTCAGGCAATCCACTCACCTCAGCCTCCCAAAGAGCGGGATTACAGGCTGAGCCACCGAGCCCGGCTCAATTCTGCATTTTTTTCGTATATTTATAGAGTTGTGCAACCATCCTACAATCAATTTTAGATTCTTTTCATCACCCTAACACGAAATATTAGACTCAGTAGCAGCCACTCCCCGCTTCTCCCCGAGTCTCTTAGTCCTGGGCAACCACTTATCTACTTTCTGTCTCTTGGATTTGGCTACTTAGATAAATGGAAGCATTTCACTTGTATTTTATTCATTTCTCATTTTAATTTTTATTTTATTTTTTGAGTTGGAGTCTCACTCTGTCACCCAGACTGGAGTGCAGTGGCATGTTCCCGGCCACCGCAACCTCACCCTGCTGCGCTCTGGCGATCCTTCCACCTCAGCCTTCCGAGTAGCTGGAACTACAGGCGCACACCTTCACACCTGGCTAATTTTTTTGATTTATTGTAGAGATGAGGTCTCGCCAAGTTGCTTGGGCGGGCCTCCAACCCGCAGGCTCAGGCAGTCCACTCACCTCGGCTTTCCAAAGTGCTGGGATTACAGGCTGAGCCACCGAGCCCGGCCAGGACTCTTTTTTTTTTTGAGTTGGAGTCTTACTCTGTCACCCATACTGGAGTGCATACTTGATCTGCTGGGCTCCGGCGATCCTTTCACCTCACCCTTCCAAGTAGCTGGAACTACAGGCATGTACTCCAACGCCTGACTAATTTTTGATTTATTGTAGATAAGAGGTCTCGCCAAGTTGCCCAGGCGGGTCTCAAACCCGTAGGCTCAGACAGTCCACTCACCTCAGCCTCCCAAAGCACTGGGACTACAGACTGAGCCACGGAGCCCGCCTCTGGACTCCCTTTTTTTTTTCTGAGTTGGAGTCTCACTTTGTCACCCAGATTGGAGTGCAGTGGCCGCTCCCGGCCACCGCAGCCTCGACCTGCTGGGCTCTGGTGATCCTTCTGCCTCAGCCTTCCAAGTAGCTGGAACTACAGGCGTGCGCTACCATGCCCAGCTAATTTTTTTGATTTATTGTAGAGGTGAGGTCTTGCCAAGTTGCCCAGGCGGGTCTCGAACCCGCAAGCTCAGGGAATCCACTCACTTCAGTTTTCCAAAGGCTCAGGATTACAGGCTGAGCCATCGAGCCCAGCTTGGACTCACTTTTAATATCACATTTCCTTTTCTTTTCTGCAGTATCGATTACTTGTTTTGGAAGGATTTGAAAGTGTTTCCGTTAGACTTATCATTAACCACACTTTCATTAGACTTGTTTAATCTGTGGGGCATATACTGGGTGCAGTAGCTCACACCTGTAATCCCAGCACTTTGGGAGGCTGAAGCGAGGGGATTGCCTGAGACCAGGGGTTTGAGACTTGGGCAACTTTGAGAGACCTTGCCTCTACAGTAAGTCAAAAAATTAACTGGGTCTGATGGTGTACGCCTGTAGTTTCAGCTACTTGGAAGGCTGAGGTGGAAGGATCACCTGAGTCCAGCAGGTAGAGGCTGCAGTGTTTGTGAGCATGCCACTGCACTCCAGCCTGTGCAACGGAGTGAGATTCCTAAAAAAAAATAAAAAACCCCAAAACCAAACAAGCTGTAAGACATAGGAATGAATTACTGAATATCTGAGTTATTCTTTGCAGAAATAAAACTTAAAAGCGTGCATAGTGTTCTCCCTATCATAAAAGAAAATTAAAATTTACATTTTGATTTATTTAGATAAAATAATACAAAAATTGCATTTAAATGTTTACTCTTTAATTAAAAAGGCTGTATATGTGGTAAATAGGATATAAAATGTTTTAATTCTCTGTAGAGCAGATAGTTTACTTTGAATGAGAACTAGTTAGTTGAATAGAGTATTTGATTTTCTATAATTCTTCAAATCTTAACATTTTATTTCTCAACAGCTTGCTATGGCATTGTTCAAGTGCCCACTGGACCATGGTTTTGCAGAAAATGTGAATCTCAGGAGAGAGCAGCCAGAGTGGTAAGGACTGCTTATCAAAAACATTAAGCTTTAGTGAGTAATTTAAGATCCTATAGTCATGTTGTAGTCTGAAGGGTTGTCAGTCTTTTGTTCAAATATTGTAATTTAGGAAAGAATTTGGGCCAAGTGTTGACTTGGAGTGTAAACAGATTTTGCAAAATCTGAAAAATAGATTGAACCAAATAAGTTTATGTTGACAGATGTATATATTTTTTTGAGTTGGAGTCTCCCTCTGTTGCTCAGGCTGGAGGGCAGCGGCACACTCACAGCCACCCCAGCGTTGACCTGCTGGGCTCCAACAATCCTTCCACCTTAGCCTTCCAAGTAGTGGAACTACAGGCACGTGCTTTTTGATGTGTTGTAGAGACGAGGTCTTGCCAGGTTGCCCGGGCTGGTCTCGAACCCTCGGGCTCAGGCAGTCCACTTGCCTCGGCCTCTCAAAGTTCTGGGGTTATAGTTTGAGCCACCGAGCCCAACCAATAGATATTTTTAAAACATAAAAATATAAATTCAAGTTGGGCTCGGTGGCTCAGCCTGTAATCACAGTACTTTGGGAGGCTGAGGTGAGTGCATTGCCTGAGCCCGCGGGTTCGAGACCTGCCTGGGCAACTTGGCGAGACCTCATCTCCACAATAACTCAAAAAATTAACCGGGCGTGGTGGCGCGCACCTGTAGTTCTAGCTACTTGGAAGGCTGAGGCGGAAGGATCGCTGGAGCCCAGCAGGTCGAGGCTGGGGTGGA